TAAAATATGTTTGCTACTTACAATTGCTATGAATAAAGTTCACTTACCGAGGGTTTCTGACCTCAAAATCCCTTACCTCTCTTGATGACAGAAATCATTATCTTTGACAAAATAGAGTTGACAATATTGTTACATTGTTTCTTACAGAGATTTTGGTGTCAGAATCTTTTCTTGCAAGGTTAACACGTTCAGTACCAAAATCCCATACTTTGAGTTAACTTTTTGAAAATCGTAATAGCAGCATTGAAAGTGTTAACAACGATCTTCATTTGTCAGTCTTGAAGCGGCGATGTGGCGTGAGATCGGTATAAAATTATCAATGATGGTGCTTCCCGGTGTGCCGGCGTACCACGGCTGGTCAATAGAGCGGCTCAGCATGCGCCTCGAGCACGCCTTCGTACCTTGTCTTAGAGCGTTTAAGGTTTTATAATATATTTTTAACCGCAATCAGAGTTGTTAAATCTGTACTAAAGTTACCTAGATGCAGAATGAGTAATGAATATATACTAAGGGACTACTTAAGTTACCCTTAAACAACTGAATGAAGATTTAAATATGTATTATGCCATTGAAATCCACTTAAACGTCTTGATAGGCTTTGAACAGTGAGATCTTAGCATATTTGTAATCTTTGGACAGCTAAATATTTAGAACCACTGCATCACAGTGCGTCAAAATGACGTATGCGTGAGTTTTGTTTTAATTAAAAAAAAAACTGTTGCGTTCTAATGTTATTTATATTATACTAGATATTCGTTGTGAACGAACTGATGGAGGATATAGTGTTAATAGATGGAGTTTGTCAAGACATGGCAACCAGAGAAGTGTTTCAACCACCGTGTTATATACCAAGGTATCTAAAAATCCCCCTTTAAAGAATAAAAGTAATAAGATGATAGGAAATGCAGCTTATTCGTAATATATATAGCTTTACTTGCGATCGCCCGAGACTCCGCCCGCGCGGAAATAAAAGAGAACATAATTTGTAGCCTATGTGTTCTTGCAGACTATGTTCTATATGTATGCCAATTTCATCGAGATCCGTTCACCTGTTCTGGAAATAACTTCAAACAAACATCCATCCATCCATCTAAACATTCGCATTTATAATATTAGTATGATATACAACCTTTACTTTCCACTCTAATTCAAAAAGAAAACAATTGAATGATGTGTTACAGGTTTTTAGGTTTACTGGCCGTCGTCCACGACTTTGTCCGTGCGGAATTCAAAATAAAATTTAATTAGTATAGGCTACTTATTAAGTTTGATTGTCCAGACTATGTTCTACATGTAGACCGAATTCCAGCGAGATCCTTGCAGCGGTTCCGGAGATACCTTCTAATAAACATCCATACATTCATCCAAACATTTGCATTTATAATATTAGTAAGATAGGAGTCTTTTCGATATTCATATACATTCTTACTTGCTTTAATACAGGACAGCACATAGACTGGTGTTTCCCAAATCATCGCAGCTATTAGTATCCGGTACATGTCCGGAAACGAAACTCCTTATAGTCCCAGCTAAAGATACTGACGAACTGGACATTATGGAGGATGAAATAGATGATATGCAATGTGAATTGGTAGGTATACAAATGTGGGTAGTTTTACATTTTTGTAATAAGGGAAAATATGGGGAACTGATCGCCAACCTTCGCTAGACGGAGAGGCACCTCAAGAAGAAGTAGAATAAATGTAACAAGTAACAACATTACATCTATTAAAATATCTCTTACTAGCTGTCACCCGCAACTCCGTCCACGTGGATATATAAAAAAACTTAGTTAGTGTAGCCTATGTGTTCTTTCAGTCTATGTTCTTTACGTATGTCAAATTTAATCGAGATTCGTTCAGCCGTTATAGAGATATCTTCAAACACCCATCCATCCATCCACATCACATCCATCTAAACATTCGCATTTATAATATTAGTAAGTTAAATAAAAATCAGCTCTTCAAGGCATACATTCGAAAAAAAAAGAAAAATGAATAAATATTATCCTATGTCCGTCTCCTGGCTCTAAGCTACCTACTCACTAATTTTCAGGCATATCGGTAAAGCCGTTATTGAGTAATAAATAGTGTAACTAACGCGACTTTCTTTTATATATATAGATTAATCGATAACATTGTAAGAACGTATTTGTTGGTAAGAGAAGACGTGGGAAAGGTGGTAAAGAAGAAAAAAACTAAGTTTGAAACATTAACATTCTTCTGAAAAAACAGAAACGAAATATTTTCACTGATTTCCTTCTATAAGCAGAGAGAATTCTAGTATAGCTAGTAAGACCATTCCTTATAATTTGTATTGTGTAGGTATCAAATGCATCATCTCGCTGTCTATACCACAAAGTGTCACGTCGCGTGTCAAGCGAGTCTCGCGCTGCGTCGGTGCGGCGTGGTCGTAGCAAGCGACGCAGAGCTCCGCGCCGCGTCAACTACAGAGAATCTGTTTGGGGCAAGCAGATATGTTAGTAATCATAAACTACACTCAAGTAATCTAAAATCTAAAGTGAAATCCTAAACTAATAGTTTCGCTTAACATTACTTTTGCGCTTAGACTGCCAGGTTCCATTAACATCTTGATGGCTGGTAATCCACAAACGTGCAATTTTGGCGAAACTTCCTGCCTTGCACAGCCGTGTTGTGAAATGGTCTGTCCTGGGTAATATTTCCAAACCGCTACGACTTAGGGTCACAAAGGCCGGCAACGGATAAAAAAGTCGGATCTCTTTTTATATACATTACTTCTTCGTCATGTTTGAAGTATACATATTTCAAATTTCAGCGACTGCTGTTATGCCGGGAGTGGCGAGTGAAAAAGAGCTCAACTCCAAGTATTACAAGCCAAGCTTTGATGATTTGGTGAGTCAATTTTACTATGCTTTACATCCAATGTCTTAAAAAACTGAATCACTTAATACCTAGCGTACAATGAACTGTGTGTTTTTGCGTGTTACTATATTATTTAGATATTTGTATGTGTTTTTGATTATGAATGATGCATATTATTTCAATATAAATATTATGTAGCTGTCTTGTGTATAAAGATGATACGTTAGTAGTTTTTAAGTTTAATCGTTTGTACCGTAGTTTCCAGCGCCTGTACTTAATATATTGCCATCTCTCTCTTCCTCTTTGAAAAAGCATAGATAGCAATATGTTGTACAGGTGTACAGTGGGCTGAATTTTTATTTATTGGACTTCTCGTTCCACAGCCTGAAAAATTGGAAGCAAATAAAGACGGTAAGTAATGTTCGATGTGATATTTCATACGTTTTGAAATTTATAAGATGAAATTATTTATAATCTCTAATGCGCATAAAAAAGCGATTAACTTTTAGATATTGTAAGACACGGACATACTGGAATATCTTTAGCGTACTCTCCCACGTCGTCAGTTCACACACAGGCAGACCAAGAGGTATTTTTGTTTTAATATTTACATTACAGTGGAGTACGACATGACGTCGATGTTACGAACTAAAAACTAAGGGTTACAAAAATTTGCCATATTAGTTTTCATAACGTAATCGACCAAATATGTCTAAATCTATATGAGTTTTGGAGCTATATAAATGTAATACAAGAGCTAGACTAGGCTAAGCTAGTTTCATTCGTTCTAAACTGTCGTGTGTAGTAGACATTAGGCCACATTCGAGGAAAATATCCACCGCTTTAAATATCTAACGCACTTTTTTACTTTTATACGAAAGTACCATTTAAATATTTTTCAGATATATTCAACGTCATTGAAACGACAAAGGAGATTATCAGATGGAAAGAAAAAATAAATTGTCTTCGTGACGTCAGTCTTTTTTTGTTCATTTTTTGCAACATTTAATTGTTTTAACTACGTTTTTCTTTGATCAAAATCATATAAATGGATTTGTATTGAACCCATGCCATGTAGGATAGGATAGTTATTTAGGGTTGGATAGTAATTGCATTAAATAAAAAAATAATAACACAAATTGTTTTTATATTTTATTTTAAATGAAAATAGTATTATAAAAAAATATAAACTTATGGTCCCAAACCGCAAATAATTGACCAAAAAGTTTTTAAGCGAAATAAAGAAAAAAAAAAGGTTAGGAATGTAAATAAAATGCATACGGAAATACAAGCACCCGATTAACATATTTAAAACTTTCAATGAAGACAAATACATAAATAATCTTCAGCTTTATTTACTTTTCACATTATAATCTTAAAATTATTTGCAAGTGACACTTTATCTTACAACAAATATTTTAAACTATTTATATCCAAATAAAAATTGCCATTTTAAGGCTGATATTATTTATGCATATATTTATAAATATTTTTTTCCAGTCAGACAAAGTCATAAACTGGCTGAATGATATACTTTTTTAATTGTCATAGCAATAGTAAAATTGCTATTTTTTATTTTTCAACAATAAACATTAACAAGGTTTTTAATTTTCCTTGATACAACAATATAATCACTGGGCATAACGCTGGATTTTATCGCGTTTAAAAATAATTAGGAAAACTTTAATTTATTGAATGCCACTCCAATTTATTCACATTTAAAAAAAACTGGCCAGTAGCACTGAGTGTGTTAATGGACTGGCTATAAGAGTAGCATGTTGTGCTTATTTGATTTTCGCCATTTTGGCGTTGATTAGTGGTGTGGATTCGAACTAATAATTAAGAATTATATCATGTAACATCAATAAACGTATTTAAATCATAACGAATGAAAAGCTATCATTTCAAAGCAATCACCTAACCATTAATATAGATTTAAAATTACTAGTCTTTACATCCGATTGAAATTGGTGCTATTTCAATATTTCACATTATGGAATTGAGCACAGAATTTTATTACACTGCCTTTCAATTATGACCATTCACTAGATTACATTTCTGTACTTTGAAATATAATATTTACACAGGTGGTTTGTAATACAATATTGATGTTAAGTATTTTTCCTGCTTTAGAATGTGAAAAAAGATGCTATTGAATAAAATTTTCCTATATTTTCAAACACTTTATTATGCCCATAGTTTATTTAGACAGTCTACTTCCTTGGTTGTTGGATATGAGGATTGGGTTTGATATTAATATGTGTGGGAGGTTTAGGACTATGAGCTATTTGAGCAGCTTCCGGAGTAAAGTCTGCATTACCCCTGTTGGGAGCACCTGATATGGACACTGGGTTGGAAGGCACAGGCGATGGACCAGACAGTCCTGTCAGGTCTTCATTAGCAGATTCCTTAGAGTCTTTAGAATGGGGTGTCTTGTGTTGAGTTATCCTCATACCACCAGCTTTGACTGTAAAACATTAAGATATAACAAACACATTAAAAATATTTAATTTGTTGAGAAAAACATTGGGTAATAATGTTGTAACACCCTATACAATGATCACGGATACAAAATTATAAGACAATATTGAAGGAAAGAAAACGTTTAAAAATTATTTATTTAATATAAATGAAAACTGATGTAATATATTAGCAAGTCAGGAGAAAGTTGCAATTTTGTCAAAACTAAATATTGCTAATAGCTAAGAGTAGGAGTGTTCTAAGTTATTATGGATAATTATAATAATAAAATTAAAAAAAAAATATGAAGCCAAATATTTAATTTTATTTTGTAAAATAAACATTTTAATGATATATCCAATACCATAGGCTCTATCGCAGCACAGAAAGTTGATTAGAAATCAATTCAGATAAACCAGTTTAGCAACTGTACTTTGTTTTTGGATTTATTTCTACAGTAGCTTTTGTCTGTGAATTTTGCACGGAATTTAAAAGAAATTTAATATGCACTATTCAAGAGACTTATCTTTGCCAAATGCAATCCAAAATCTGTTTAGCTTTTTTAAAGTTACCTTCAAACAAAATCCATCTATCGAAACTTTCACTTTTTTAATATTAGTATGATAATTATACTTTTTGTACAGATGTGTGAATTATTTTGACTGCAGAAAAAGTGACTTAAACACTTTTTAAACATACATTTGAGGTAAAACACCAAAATTACCTTAACAATGACTACAATTATTATAAAAAAACAGGCCCAAAATATCTTATTCTTAAAAAATAAATTGTGGTCTATGTTAGTCATTGTTGTCTGCTTGACCGGTTACCTTATGACCTTGGAAGCGTATTCTTTGTTTGACAACATTCATTTATAACGTACAGGAAAGGTACATAACAAAATAATAATGATGTCACTTTCGAGGAAACTAATACAATCAAGTTATATCAATTATGTAAAGATAATAATAATAATTATATACCTTTATCATTATCTTTTGCAGTACTTCAATAAATACTATAATATTTCTGCATAAACTGCAAAGTAATTGTAAACAAAAGTATAAAACAGACCTGCCGGCGGGTGTCCTGCCTTTAGCTGAGATGTTTCTTCAGTAGACGACATTTTTCTATAAAATTGGAAATATAAAAAGATTGTCTAATATAATTCTGATAAGATTCTATCGTAAATAATAGTGATATGCAACGTGTAAGCACACACGATGACAATGACACGGTGCACAAAATACAGATAAAAATATTACTTGTGCTGGAATGACATTTTTGAAAACCGTTCAGAAACTCACTTTATATCTATTTTATATTGAATAGTTTATAATGTTTTCTTAAACAGTTTAGATTATTGTTATTTATAATTTTTGTTTGATAAAAAGTACAAACATTAACAAATAATATTTATAGCCTTCCTGGGAGATAATTCGACCGGCGATGTGGATATTCTTGTACTAATACCCCATTGGTCTTCGGTCTAATGTTATTTTAAGAATTTTGTTTATTTTATTTTTACCCATCTTAGAGAACATTAATAAAAATTAACAATTAAGTATTCCTCCTACATTTGTCTTTCAAACTTTGTTAAGCATTCATATTGTATAAAGAATATTTCGTTATGTTTTTTTATTTTATTTCATATACGAGTATGTACTTTTTAAAAAGAGCGCGATGGTTTAAGGGAAATCCACAGCAATCGTTATGAATATAATTCGAGAATATTTACAAGTAATTATGATACTTAATAGTTATGAACAAGGTCGTAAAATCGATGAAATCAGCACAATTTAGCTCTCTAATGGAGGTTATAACTAACAGCTATTCAAACAGAGATAATTATATAAATATACACCACATGCAACAGAATAATTATTATTTTGTGGTGTACAAGTGTAATTATATTTACTAATATTAAATTTATTACTAAATCACGTGATACACTATCCCGTGATACACACGTAGTGTGCAGTATGCTTTATGTTTATTCTTCTTTTTTAATATTTTTGGATTATTGCCAATTATTGCCAACTTTCAACAAAACAACTATAAAATAAGAAAAAAAACATAATAGAATAAAAATCGCTATTTTATTTCCATGCTTTTATTTTTAATCTTCTAGATGGAAAGACGACGTCCTTTTCATCGCAGCCAGGTCTAAGCATATCTTTCTGTATTTCCACAATCATTCTCAACATAAAGTTCACAATTTGACTGCAAGTTCCCTCTCTTAGTTTGGGGAATTCCCTTCCAGAAGGCAGATATGTATCCTCGATGCATATTGTTTGTTGCGTCAAAGATGAAATTAGTCTTTTTATAATGTCCACCTTTTTGTTCGCTGCCAACGGACGTAGTCTTATCATGAAGCGTAATAGGTATTCTATTAGTATGATGTCCTCCTGAAAAAAAAAATTGTCGATTTACCGTGAGTTTCTTATACCAAAATCTCCGTTTAAACATTTCGTTATCCCTGTCTTTATCTTTGCCAAAACAGAGATAAAGTATTAAACGGATTTTTTGGTGTCAGAAACACACGGTTAGAGGTTTTAATTTTGATGCCTTATTCGACCTATCACAAACCCATCTATGACTTAAACATATAATAAAGAGAAAACATTAGATAGTTTATGGATAAACTCAAAAACTTCTGAACCGATTTGAAAAGTTCTTTGACCAATAAAAAGCTTTTCTATAAGCGAATAACTGTTGCTATTTTTACATCATTATTTACCCAAGCGTAGCTAAGGCGACCTATTAGTTTATATAATCTTACCATGTCCAAGGCCTGTATACACCATTCCATGTTATGGGCGCGGCTTACGATCAGGGAGAGATCTTCTCGGTCCAGCACCGGCTCCTTCAGACCTTCTAGCCACTCGAAAAGCAACCCCGATAATATTAAAGGATCCTCCTGTTAAGAAAGCATTTGAAAAATTACTTTGTACATTTTTCCTACTGTGGCTGTGTTGTGATCTCCTGGTATTTAATCTTCGCTGATTATAAGTAAGATGTCATTAGATTTGTGTGTGTTGTTTGATTGGTCAGTCTCACCTCATCATAAATCATATCCATGGCTTCTCGTCTCTGATTGATATCATTGCGCAGTTGCTTTAGACGTTTCTGATTGTCTTCTGGAAGACATTGGTCTGAGACGAAGGCCTGGAAAATGAAGAAGTGTAAAGTTTTATCTAGTACTGAAATACAAATAAGTTATGCTTTCTTAACTGGGTTATCAGCGTAAGTAACAGCTCATATATATGTCCGAGTTCTAATAGATTAATTAGGTGTTAGTCAACCACGTCATTCAAACAATGAAAATCGAAACCGGGACATATGGGGCTAGACAAAGTACATTAGCTCCGATTGCTTCCATAACGAATTTCAAATATAGAACTGACAATAACTTTCGATAAGTCACGTAATAGTGCGTCAACTTCATACATTTTTGAAGTTCGCTATGGAATCGCTACGGAGCGAATACACTATGTCTAACCCCCCTGTATAGTAAAGGATTTAATCACTTAACTAACGACGTTTATAAATGCCTTTGTAAATAAGAATGGTAGTAAATGTCTACCTCATGCACTTGAACTGCTGGTATAGTACAATTAGTGGTTGTAGCTGTGATCCTACTGACTGACTCTAAGCTTCTCTCCACCTCCTCTGCTGGATCACGCCATTCCACCATTGGTAGAGGTAGAGACCCTGTTTGACCTAGAACATATCGTTGTCTCAATTCTTTTTCTGTGAAAGAGTGAGATAGCATATATTATACAATGTGAACGTCGGCAATAATATCAAATTGCGATCATCATTCCATTTACATACTCGACTAGTTTTATATTAAGGCAAATGCAAGAAGTATGCGTATTATACCGTTTTATTGCTCAATAAAAACTTTATTATCCATCATAGTAATTACATTGATAGTAAGTCGTTAGTAAGTCAATGATAACTTAAGACCTATATAGTATTGAGTTCATAGTATCAACAACATAAATCAAGCCCGTAATAAAGATGGGTAGGCTACCACGGACCTCTATGTGGTCCTGACACCTCTCGATTCTTCTATATACATGTACACATGTACGTCGGATTCAGTTGCTTAATACCGCCCTTATTGGTTACTTTATCAGTCCGAACGGTAAATGTCCGTTTTGCAAAGCTCCAGTCGACACTGACGCTAATTTTCGCGCCATAAATTTTGCTTTGTGTCCAAAACATTTAAGCATACCTTTTCAATTTTTTAAAAGGTATTAGTAATAGTAAAACAGATTTAAAAGTGCGGTACACATTTAATTTTTGGCATTAATATGAACTATGTATAAATAAAATTTTCGTGCCGCGATGTTAGTTACCATACTTCTCCGAAACGGCTTGACCGATTGTTATGAACTTTGACATATATTTAATAGATCTGAAAATCTGCTACTATCTATTTTTAATTTCGCGGGGACGTAGTCACGGGCGACAACTAGTAAAGTCCTGTTATCATTCTTCTAAGCGTTCTTTTACATACCTTTGCTTCTATAATAGTTGATGCTTTATATGATTGATAATGAATTTCGTAAATTTCTGGCTATCAAATACAAAAAAACTTTAGTTGTTAACAAGATTACCAGTTGGCATCTCTTCAGGTGTTGTCAGCTCTGTAGGTTTGTTCTTCTTAAGCCTGTAAGACAGGAAAATCTTGTAAAAAGGTCGGATATTGATTCTATAGTCCTGTCCACCATTTTCATGACAGCCGCACAACTTGAGAAGTCTCTCACAGATGCAGTAGACTATCTGAAATAAACAGATTGTGCTTTATAATAAAAATGAAAAAGCGTTCGTAAAAGTACAAAAGATAACTCTTGCGGTTGTTCCGCGCGGTATTAAAAAAAAATGAATTAGTAGCCTATATGTTCTTCCAGACTATGTTCTATACCTATGCCAAATTTCATCAAAATCCGTTGAGATGTTTTGGAGATACCTTCAAACTATCCATCCATCCATCTAAACATTTTTATTTATAATATTAGTAAGATTCATCTTCAGATGGTGAAATTAATTTACTTAGCTGTTGACATTCAGATAAAATTATCATTGAGCACTTCAATTCAAGATGTACAAAGAGAGTAAGCTGTTTGCTTGTTATCTTTTATTAAATGTCGAACAAGAGATCATAATTATATTTATAATTAGTTAAAACTGTTTTCTAAACAGATTACAAAATATACCACGTTAACGAGATATATAATAACTAATGCTTTTCAGTTGATTAGATGTCTTACTAATAATATAAATGGGAATGTTTGGATGGATGTTTGTTAAAAGACATTTCCAGAACGGTGGCGGAACGTAGAACATGTTTTGAAAGAACACATAGGCTACTAAATAAGTTTTTTTTATCTCGCGCGGATAGAGTCGCGGGCCACAACTAGTTATTTTTCCATGTGTGGGTATGGAGATGCCACATTAAATATGAAGCGCCGAATGGTTTTGTGGCAGTATTATTTGTATAAAATATGTATCGGAATTAATGTGTGAATTTACCTTGGGAATTTCTCGAAAAACACGCTCTTCTATTCCGTGGAGTGTAACTTGCTGCCGATATAAGTACTGCCTTAAAGTGAATTCAGCATATTTTCGACCCTTCGCCAATAATAAAGGCTCCCTGTATATGCATTTAAAAATAATTATCCTTGTAAATTAAATGCTTTTTTAATTAAAAAACATCCTGTGTAATGTTATTTGACACTCATATTTCTTAAATGGTGACTGTTAGTATTTGATTCTCTATAGTTTTTTTCAAATATCTTGACGGCTCTAAACAAAGCACAAGTCGCTGCGCAGAACAAAATTTTTGGTGTAGCGAGGACAATGCGCAGCGCTTAGCTCAAAGCCAGCCGCCAAGATATTTGAAAAGACAAGTACCAACTTAGTACTGAAGATAACAGTCTGCGGCAGTATGTAGTGCTCGAACTGCTGCACGCACAAGATCTGTCCAGATGTTTGCACAGCACGAGGTCGTTTCTTCCTCACGAGGCGTATCGCGTCATTAGCACGGATCCTCAGAGCGTAGACCAAGTAGCAAGCTATCAGGACTCCAGTTCTTCCCAAACCTGGTTATAAATAATTTATCCTTACACGACCCTCGTAAAACTTGTAACAGCATTATTAATCAAGAAAAGCAATTCTTGCTATGCACTGTCGTGAAAAAGGTGATTTTTTTGGAGCACCATCTTTTTTCTTCACATTCATATTTTAATGACAGGCCCAACCCTCTTCTTGTTATTATGGAAGACGAAAGACCTTGAATAATGAAGAGACGAAAGATTTTAATAATGAATTCGCATTATTGAGTTATAACCATTCGGTTAGCGGTATTTATTTCACTTTAATGCAAGGCTTGTTTTATTATATAAGTTGCACCAAAACCGACTGCTAATTCTACAAAATATATATGTCTGTTTATAATCTGTTTCAATTATATTTAAAAAACGAACTAACTAAGGTGACGCAGCAACAATAAATCTCCACTTTCCCCGATCCCTGAACGGCGCGGGATCAGAAACCTTTAAATTTTAAATACTTTAGCCATAGATCCCTACTACAATTCTTGATTTCCATAATCACATACGTACTTACAATTTAAAATTAGTTATATTTTAAAAAAGGATGAGTAATAAAAATCAGATAAAAATCATAAACGTTTATTGTTAGATTATTTTATAGTAGGAAATAAAACACAGTTATTCTAAACTCTTCAAAACATACATTACCAAGTTTTCAACTTCACAAATGGAAGTGGTTCTCAATTCGTCTATTTTTTTATTGTGCAGTTTCGTTTTGCTTTCACACTCCAGCAGAAGACAGGTGTCAAGTGGAAACAATTCCGCGTTTCGTCTGATGAGTGTGCGTCCCGGATGCCTTATATAGTCCTCTTTCCCTTCCCACCCTTTTTCTTATAAGGAAAGGATGAGAAGTGTAAGTAGACTTTTCGGATGAGAGGATGCATGGAAAGGGAAAATATTTTCTTTCTGTGCATCCTCACCTCCGTCGATTAAAGGTAGGCAACGCAACGCATATGCAATTGGGCAACGATCATTCCGCTACTTCAGCGATTTCGGGTGGCAGCTCGCTCGTTTGCCACCTTATAATATATATAAAAAAAAACAATAATTAAACTATAAACTCAAATAATAAAGTTTCTAAAACCGTGTTGTGAACTTTAAAATATATGAAAAGCCAGTCGAAAATATATTAAAACTGCGTTAACATGTTTTGTTATTTATAAACACGTAATGCGTCGTTTCTCATGAGCTACACTTAATTGATATAATACTACGAATAGACTTCTGGGACCTCGGAAATTGTCTAATAAATAAATTTACACGTGTTTAAAAATATATATTAACGTTCAGTACAATGATTTTTATGATTTCTAGATTAAAATAAAAAATAGTGCTTACGATACAAACGTACATCTTACTAATATAAATGCGAATGTTTAGATGGATGTTTGTTAAAAGATATCTCTAGAACTGCTGGATCTCGCTGAAATTTGGCTTAGATATAGAACACAGATTGGAAGAACACATAGGCTACTAATATATATTTTTAATTCCCTCCGGACAGAGTCACGCACGACAGTTATAACCCTATATTTATATAATTCTATACTGTATATGTACATTATTAGGTAGATATTGTAGGAGTTGTCGTAAAGGTCTACCCTTAATTTCTAATTTAGAGTAGGACTGATCGAGTTTTAGAGACGGTGACCTAAAACTGTTTCATGGTTAAAATATAACATTGGTTACTTTTTTGCAGTAAGTGATATACATTTTTCCCAAAACTTATCAACAAACACATCGTCTTTACACAGTTTGTGGTATGAATGCATTTTACAATCCTTAAAATATTCACCACTGACCTCACTAAGTTCTGGACAAACACATAGATGTATACTTGTCTGAGCTCCTTCTTTAGAATCCTTGAACATCAAAGTTGTTAAAATATATACGAGCTTTTCAGCTAAAGTGTGTAGTCTTTTGAATATATTTGTCCATACAAATCCAGGGTGCAAGGAGTTGACAGTCACCCCACTTGGTAGTCTTTTTACTAGCGCTTTCATCCAAAGAAGGTTGCATAACTTGCTATTCGCATATTTGGTAAAATAATATCCTTTTGTATTCACATCGCCCAGATCGTTAATATCCAATCTTCCGAAATTATGTAAAAAAGATGAAACAATAATAATACGACTTGGCATTGATGCTATTAATTTGTCCATTAATAAATTAGTTAGAAGAAATGGTCCAAAATGATTTGTTTGCAACACTAAATCAAGACCATCGTCGGATATTTTCAATGGAAGACCGGCGCAGCCCGCATTATTGACTAAGAAATCCAAACGGTCAACAGTCTTATTGAAATTATCAGCAAATTCTCTAATACTACTAAACTTGCAAAGATTCAAATGTCTGTATTCAACATTATTGTTCCCAGTTGTTTCGATTATATCGGCGATAGCTTGTTTTGATTTCTCTTCGTTCCTGCAAGCGATGATAACTCTTGCGCCTCTTCCAGCTAAGTCCCTCGCTGTTTCTAATCCTATACCAGAATTTCCACCGGTCACTAGAGCCGTTTTGCCGTGCAGTTTCGTCTTGCATCTACACACTCCCGATTTCGGTTCTAACCACATTTTTAAAGTTATAATTAAAAACACGAATGAAATAAACAAATATGCTATTAATTTAAATATAACTATCAATGCTTGAATGGTAATCATGTTGAGTGACCGAACGGAACGACACTTGTTGTGCCTGAGAATTCTAGAGGCAATTTAAAACGGCAACCACTTAAGTATACATAAGACAGGGTCATCGCTTAAATTGTTGTTATGTTACTGTAAAAGCCTGAACTCCGGTGAATTCTAAGATATACCAGTAAATCTATTTACCAACTAGGTTTAATGAAAATCCTAAAATATATGTGATTTTTCTGTTTATTTAGAACACTTACGAACTAGTGCGTTATAAGATTTTATTTAAGCATACGGTATATGTCGGTAAACTGTCGAAAAAGATTAAAATAGACTCGTCAATTCACTTAGTGAGATTGCAAGGTTTGGCGATACCGGGTGGACAAAGGGTGGATGTGTGCTCGTTAACCTAAAGGATGGAATGTACCTTCTTTTTATCCCGAACCGAACTGATATAAAATATTTCTTTTTATGATCCTGGAAATGTGTACGGTTCAACACATCTTATAGAAATTTGGCACAGATATAGAACATAGGCTCGAATATGAGATACTTTTCATAATTCTTTAAATTCTGCGCAGACGAAGTCGCAAGCAAAAGTTAGTATGTTTGATAATTACCTTGTTCACACGTTATCAAAACTAACCTTTGTGTATGTTTATATGTTTAATATTTATGATGCATACGTTCAAAACCAATGGAGTATTCATAGGGGTACATAGTTTGTTCCTTTTTTAGGCGACTTCAAAAAGAAGGTTGTGCTTGTGGTTGGTCTCCATTTTTTTTAATTAATTTTTTTAATATACATTTTTGTTATTAATTTAGATTGAATTTGGCATTGAATCATTTGCTAGACTTTACTAATAAACCAAAAAACCAGTTCGATTGCCTAATGATTTTTTGTTTATTTCTAAATTGCTGGATTTAAAACCAGCTTTGCTTTTTACCGAAACACTCTTTGCGTTTAAATTACTTAATTGTTATGTATTCCTTTAACCTATTTACGAATTTAAAAAATTGTATCCCAGTGCTGTAAGGGACAACATTCATACAGCATTGTTCTGCTTTTCTCCATTTCTTCTCCATTATATTGAGCTTTATTTGCCTATAATAAGGTTTAATATTACTTTGCATGTCTTAAGAACAAGCTTAAAAACGATGTACAAAATAAAATATATCTTGTTTCAATTAATTAAAGCTCAGATTCCTTTGCTTTATTTTCCGCCCAGGTCTGTGTGAACGTTACACATATCATCCTCACACATTTCATCCAAACATCTAAAATATTCTAAGTTCTTTCCTGGTTTTACCCCCTTTATCACTTCGCATAATTTTGGCCAATAAACCTATTGTTTTCTCTCATACACTTTTTTTTGAACATCCTGTATATTCATCTAATTTTTCTAGTTCAAAATTAAACTCATTAGGCAATTAAAAAGAGTTACATATCAAGTAACAACTAATGACACGCCATTTGCTACTATTTATTATTATAATTTGACCTCCTTATGATAGAAACCTTGCAATCCGTATAAGAGAAATCTTAGTTTACTGTTTCGCATGTTGAGTACTTAAATTAGGTACCAATTTATGCTTCAAAAAGATGGTGTTCTAAAAATCATTTTTTATGCATTGCATTTAGCCTATTTAAAAGTACATCTAAATTGTTACACATTTAAAATACGGGCAAGGACATGAAAAAATAATAATAGTGCGTTTTGTGTATAGTACAAATTATTATTATGAAATCAAATAATATATTTTATAGTAAGCACCTGAAATCGTTTCCAGACCCTAGAAGAACATATCCGCGGAAAAAATCTATTCTATTTAAGTGTTTTTTTTTATTGTATGTAATATTATGGGACATGCTGTATGTTAAGCATTTACCTGCATGGCAGTGTATGGCGACTCTACCCTCTTGCAACGCGAAGGACAATACTTTCGTCATATTGAGCAGGCCACTCAAGCTAGCTTCTCCGTAGTCCGGCCACGCGAAATTGTAATAATATACTGTGAAAAAACTAAAATATGTATTTAAATATTTTTGTATTTCGGTAAAAGGTAACGTATTTGTTAACACAGACTAAAAATTGTATAAAATTTTTTTATAGGAGAAGGGGGCAAACGATCAACGAATCGCCTAAGATTATTTGATCTGACGCCAATGGAAATCCGCAATGCCAGAGGAACCGCATATGCGTTGAAATGTTCTTTCTTTGGTATTAAGCGGATTGACTGTGAGTTTCTGACACCAAAATCTCTGTATAAAACATATCGTCATCCCTGTCATTATCTTTGTCCGAAATAGAGATATCTTATTAATATTATGAATGCGAGTGGATGGATGGATGTTTGTTTGAAGGTATCTCCGGAACGGCTGCATTGACGTAGAACATAGTCTGGAAGAACGCATAGGCTACTTATTAAATTAGTTTCAAATTCTACGCGGACGGAGTCGCAGGCGACAGCTAGAACTATATATTTTAAACGGCGATTTTTTTCTAGGAAACTTATGTGAATGAGTGAGTTAGTGATCGAATAAACGAATGAAAGAACGCATGAATGAATGACTCAAAAGTGAAAACTTACTGTTATTGGCCATAAATATTGTTGGATCGTATGTGAATCCGGAGCTCGTGAGTGGTGGACCACAGCTCGCGTGTTCACCTGACGTTTGCAGGTTGACCACCGTACGGATTCCCCAACTGCAATGAACAATGCATTTCCAGCTACAAGAAGACTAAACAACTCATGCTCAATCGGAAATTGTTTAATTTATAAGATTTTAAACACAAATACGCGGAATAGTATTACGATAATTCACCTTCGTTTTTAGGTTATGAGAAAAAGAAACAAGAACAGTTTAAAATTTGTTGTTTATATCTCATTTCTTTACGTCTTTTTCTTTATAGATATACCTTTATATTCGTTAATGTTTTAGATTATTTATGGTTGAAGTCGTCACATAAAGAGTTAACAGTTTTTTAAGGTACTGTACAAATCTTCTTTTGTAAGCATCATCTCTCTGTCCTTATCCCATTCTATGTGGGTTTGGAAGACTAGGATTTTATTCTAGATCGACCGATCGACATTTCATTCCTAGACTTGCCCTTATTGAATACTTGTAAATAAAAATACATTTAGTAAATTCGTACCTATGGAATTGTTGTATGATATTCCTGGCTGCGATGCTCGCGGTGCTAGGACGTGCCATCGCCAGAATGTCTTCGGTGACCCTGTCATATGTAACGTTATATTTATTACAAGCTCGAATATGTATTTTAATAAATTCTTGTTTATTTTATTATATTTTGAAGATGGTATTTTATTTATTATTCTTTTAAATTTAATTAAATATAAAATGATTATATCTTAGTCATTGATCAATCAACATATTCATGTTCTCAAATTATACATTTATTTTATTTTTAAATGTGAACCTAACGTTATCTTGATATATTAACATACAATTGAATGGACGTTTAAATATATTTTTGTACATTGGAACGCTAACAGTGATTGACCGTGCAGTCACGTGAGCTTTAACAGCACGGGTTTATAATTCGACTCTTAATCAGTTTATCGAGAATAATGATAAGCTAGATCGCCTAAGCTGTACAGGCGTCTAGGCTAGGGCGCGGTAGGGCGACCGCCCAGGGCACAGGACAAGGGCGCCACAGGTCTGCGAATTGCTCAGTCACACATGATAAAAAAGTCGTGTCGTACAAGTCTTGCCGTGGGAAGGTAGCGCTGGAATCGGTACTGACTCTAAACACTGGAATGTCTGCAGTCGTAGTTATGGTTTAAGTACTATTGAACAGAGCGAGATTTCTGCGTCACCCACTTTTTTACCATGTCTTAGGGGGGGGGGTGTAACAGGGTTCTGTGACCCTGTGTAATTTGACCTCAGTCGTCCCTTACTATCCAGCGCCCTGGGCGGTCGCCAGCCCACGCCCTACCCTTAAGCCGCACTCGAATAATATTGCATAATGCCATCCATTTCGCACAAAACTGCATAAAGTTGTATTCATACGTGTTCTAATGCATTTCAAGCAGTAGGAAATGTGCTAAATAAATGAATAACTCCGCTATAACTTTTTAAATTGAAACAGCCAGCATTTTGTTAGAATTGGGTCGTGAAAACAGTAATATTAGAATTTTATTATAACACGGAACAAGAGCTTGACGGAAGTCACGCGAGTGAGATCGTAGCTTTATAAAAAAATAACATTTAATTAATATAAAATATACGATGACGTGCTTGTATTTTTTAATACATCACGCTACGTTTACTAATCTACTTGTAAATTTAGTAAATATCCTATTTTATATGGAAATGGAACTGACAAACAATAGATTTGGGAGAATAGTGTAGCGTACAATATAATCACATACAGGATGTTCAAAAAAACGTAAATCTAATGGAAGACTACAAGTTTCTTGGGTAAAAATCTTCAAAAAAAGTTCGTTAAGAATAGAACACAAAACTGTCACACTTGTGTAAACACATTCTGTCTCTTTTTTCATATAGAGAATGAAAGGGACGACAATATATCCAAAGTTACACTTACCAATCCGAGTACAATCCTTGTATGGCATTTTCTCGTTTCGGCGGTAGTTCGTACTGGCAGCTAGCACCGCCACAGAACAACGCACACTGCAGAGCTGCCGGCGTACTGATACGCACGCGTTCGCTCAGTGCACTGTACTGCGCTGATGGTGAACGGTTGATACGTCTACGTGACTCCCGACTCCTAGGGAAACATGATTTTGTTGCATCATATCATCACTATCATCTCCATGCCTTTCTATGGAAGATCGGAACAGTATTACAGCCATTATAATATAATTACGCTAGAAATATTTCAAACAACATCAGATAAAATATATTGGTTAAGGAGAAACAAATACATGGCTGAACGTGATTTGGAGAATAAGAACCGGCATGTTTTTTTAAATGAACCCTACACGGATAAAGTCGCAAGCATACTGGTAAATTATTGCTACCGAATATAAATTAACTTTAAAAAAAAAATCTTACCTATCCAAGAAACGAAAGCGGTTAAAGTTTTCATGATAAATACTTGACCTACGATTTGTGCTGTGTTTCGTCATGGCGTGAAAAGTAACAAATGTTAAAGAAAGAAGCGTAGATAAAAGCTTTCATGTAAAGCGTTCCACTAACTGCCTCACATCGGTCATATAAAAAAAAACTAGCAATAATAGGTTGGTCTTTTGTTTATGTCGCGTCTGCAAATTAACTTTTAAAGTTTAGATTTAGTGTACAAAATGACTACGTGTTTGAAAATGATATAATCTGTAAACGATATTTATAATCGATTTTTGCTCATTACTAAAGTTACATATTCTTTACATGAAGATAGTTATGGTCTTATTCAATGGAAATGATAAACTTTATTGCTTTGTGCGCAAGCTGACAAAATCATTTCTTGTCTATGGATTTTTTTTTCGATTTTCGAACTTTAATTTGATTAAACTGTGATCACATTCTTATTAAGGTAAAATTTTTTATATTCGTTTATTATAATTTCTCATTTGTATTAAATTTGAGTATACACAGTACGATTCTTTCTAGGTAACTTAAAATGTTGTCTGCAAAATACAGATAATAATAGCAATAATATCACAATATAATTAATGCGTTGTTTCAGCCGTTTTTGATGTTAGTACAGAACTGGCGACATCAATTTCGTGTTAGAACCACTGAATCAATAATTATAATGACAACATTCATCGCCCCTTCGATGTTTATTTTGGGCCCTAATTGTTATAATCATACTAGCGGTCGCCCGCGACCCCATCTGTGTGGAATAAAAAAAACATAATTAGAAGCATATGTGTTCTTCCAGACTATCTTCTATATGTATGTCAAATTTCATCGAGATCCGTTCCGTTCCATACATCTAAACATCCCCATTTATAATATTACTATGGTAAGTAATATGACACAATAGAAAGAATTAAACAAGCTAGTACAATGTAACAATTCTGCTTACTTATTTAATATTTCTATCATCATCCCGCCTTTTTCCTAGCTGCCGGCACAGCATAAAACTATGATAGTGATGATGATGACGATGATGAAATACTATATTTAGTCTTCCTTACATCTTTATCACGATATGACCATACTTTCTTTCGCCTTGTTTACCTTTGTATTCATTAACTTTCGATCATAACGAGAGAAGGATCCGAATTTTTTTTAAAGATTACTTCAATCATTAAAAACTTAATTATTATGCTAAGTTTTTTATTGCCCAAGTTATACTACGATTAAGTTTAAGTTTTTTCGTTGCGAGCATTGTAAAGCTCGTGCATTAATTAAGATTATATTTTACGATAGTAATATACTAACTGACGCCCGTGATTCCATCCGCGCGGTATTAAAAAAAGGTAATAAGTAGCCTATGTTCTTCCATGCTATGTTCTACATTTATGTCGAACTTCAGCAAGATCCGTTCAACCGTTCCGGAGATACCATCTAACAAACATCCATCCATCCATCTAAACATTCGCATTTATAATATTAGTATGATTTTAATGTCGTGGTATTCACTATTAACTACTCCTGTTAATGCGAAGTTTTAATACTAATTATTCGAGTTCTCAATCATGTGACTAACAACAAAAATCAATGTCTGTTGCCTACATGTTTCGAATCTATTGGATATTTGATGAAAGATTGGCAGTGTGTTCTGAGCAGTTTTGCGAACTAAAACACCTAAAAAATTTATACATATAAATAAATTTGGAGTGTCTGTTTGTAACATTGGAATAACCGTTTTGTACTACATGTATATACATACACCAAAATATTTTTTTTACAATTTTTGTCTGTCCGTCTGTATGTTCCGGCTAACCTTTGAAATGGCTGGACCGATTTTAAAGTTACTTTTATTACCAGGTAGCTGATGTTATAAAGAGTAATTAAGGCTACATTTTATTTCAGAAGAATTCTTTTATTTTAGCAAAATAAAGTAATGTTGCAATGTCCAAGTACCCTGTTGCGCGTAGCTCAAAGACAGTATTTCAGACGGACAAAGTCGCGGGCACAGCTAGTAACAAATAAAGTTCAGATAATCACCGAAGCCATTGGCATTTCGACGCCATCAATGATTCAAGTTATTACGCGACGACGAATGAAACATGTTGATTGTGAATTAATAGCGTGAGCGATATTATAAAACACATAAACACGAACATGCTTTTACCAAACATTACACACAATCACACAAAAACACATACACTCAATTACACACACACAGACATACACTTCATTTAAACATTTTAAAATGACCTAAGCGTAAATACATGAAGAGAGGAGAAATGTCCTCGAGGTGAGGCTGGAAATGTTTCCTTTCGTGAAAGACAAATAGAATTTAGCGGGAGAGGCTATGTGAAAGGATGTATGCTTTTTATATGAATGTTTTGCCTCATGAATTAAGTTCCTTTTCTAATTTGATATTGTTTTTAGTAAGGGTGTTTAATTTTTATTGCATTCAATAAAATATCGTTCCCAAATACGACACGTACTTTTCCGTGTTATAACTTTGACCTATTCCGGTAACTTTGCCTATTACACGCACCCTGTTGCGTGACCGCTCAACACTTGCGTTCGATATCTTATCGTCGTATACTTTCAAGAAATAAAAATTATAAATAAACAAATAACGAATTTAGTTTTAAATTGATGCACCTGATTTGATGGTATTGTGCCTGACAAAATATTAACCGCAAAATATTAGTTTTGATCATTAGTAGGATGTAATTCAAAAGGCGCTAAGAAAAATCCCTCTTTGTCTATCAATATGTATTCAACTGGGATACCTCACACAGACGAAAACTATATAACATTCCTCCCGTATTCTTTAATATAATATTTCTAGCGTAATAATACCAACTTAAATAAAATACCAGGATTTGTGCAGTGTAATAAATAAAAACGGTGCTCTTCATTGCACTAATGAGCGTGTTTTGTAGGACACTAATTTGTTTACGTGAAAATATATGCGGCACTAACTAACTGACTTTATTATTTATTCTATTAGCGAATCAAGTTTATGTTTTTGTATATTATGTTTGTTCAAGCCCAAGCCCTTAAAGTTACCTACCTAGGACTTGATTTGCTGGTGCGTTCGGGAGCCACCTTCCTCCGGAGTAAGCGTCGGTACAGTCTCGTACAAACACTGAATCTTGAGCAATGTAAACGATCCCAAAAACCTCGTCGGTCTTCGATGTCAGTAGCATTGCCATTTATGTTTGTTTCACTCATATTAAATGTTTCAACTCCTCTGAGATTTTAAATTCATTATTTCCGACAATTTTTAAACATTTTATCTTTACATGTGCATTCATAAACAACTTTTAGTTGGGAAATAATGATTCAAAACTAATTTAGAGTTAAATAACCTATTATTAGCAAACATATATGGTTATACTAATGATAATTATCATAACCACAATACACATCATTATCAAAACGTGGATCAATTAAATATTCACTTGTTAAATTCTAATGCAATGTTTTTCTTTTAAATATTTGCTATTATATTTTTATTTTATTATTTTTTTATAACAGAAAAGGCCACAATATCTAAACAAATTAATGTTAATTACAATTATTTTCTCTCCTTCATTCATAAAATATATTATTTAGAAAATCATAAATAAATTCGCGATGCAAGATATTTTTCCGAGAAAGTCGCTCGCTCCGACAAAGGGCAAGGAGTTACTGTATTCAAGGAGTATCGACTATACAACGCGGTACTACGTTGACGACCATAAGGGTGGTGACACACTGATGACTAAACCTTGTTGTGTAAAAAATGATTCAACTTTATCAGTAACATTAATTCGAAAATCATCACCAATTCGATTTTATACTATAATTGAAAACAATATGCTGGCACCAAATTCACTAGAGTATAAAAAACTTGTAACCCATAATAAGATTATAAACTGACAAAACTCACAAGTGACTTAATAAAGTTGAATAAAAAGAAATACTATAACTCCTAAACTACAAGGTATAAATAAAAACTTAGTATTCTACTTTGAATAACTTAAGTCGTAAGTAACAAGTGATATTTAAGATTGATGTAGAAGTTTATTAATAGCAATGAACTAAGTTATTTTTGGTCCGTATTTTATGAGTACTTTTCACATTTTATCGTCGCAACTTTGACCTATGAAAGGTATAGAAAATTCATTATCAAGAATACATCATTATTTTTAAGTTTTATTAATATTCTTTAGTAAATTAAATTATTTCGTAAGATTCTCCTGTTAAAACACCCGTACAAAAACATATTGGTATCTCAGTTTTATCAAGGTGAATGAGAGGGATAGCATATTTTTGTACGAATGTTTCAAAAGCGAAAATCCACGTTAACATTTATGTATACAAGCATGTTATAATAAGCTCGTGTATACGCAGCAAATTCAAATGATGTTTGTACGAAGGCCCTTTAGAACGTAAGTTTGGAATACAAAGGCCCTTTAGAACGTATGTTTCGAACGAAGGGCCCTTTTAATTGTATTATTAGGCCCGTACACATTTCATCCTCTTTGTAGCAGGATCCATTTTGCAGACTTCAAAGGCGCTACATTTGACGTTATTGCAGTAGACTCCAGGGCCTCCAGCTGTAAACAACATAATACGTTAATCATATGGGGATTGGTTATCCGTGAAGAATACGATTTCAAATTAGTTTCACGGTAACTAAAACAACATTGTTAAAAGATTTTTAATATAAAAAGCATGCACGGCCACGAATACGTTTTCTAAGTTTTTTGTGTCAAAACAAGTAACGTCTACTGGTTTTTTTTTGTATCATTATTCTTTCTTATTAATGAATAATTTGCTTAATGTGTTGTCGTGTCTATATGTTTTTGCTCACAATTTTTTTGTTGAACAATCTATTCTTTTCGGTACAAACTAACTGCATCCCTATATTATACAAGAAATTATTTTGACAAATGCTGTGCCATAGGATATTATATTTTTCAGATATCTTAGCTACTCTTAACGTCGCGCGAGTCGCTCCGCAGAACACAGTTTTACGTTTAGCGGGACATAGCAGGAAAAGGGGGAGGGCACTGCGCAGAAGGTCAATGACCTTGGGCCGCTAAGACATCTGAAAAGAATAATACCCAAAATTTGACTTTAGTACTTACACTGTGTGCGCTTGTCGTTGTTACCCGAACTACCGAATGCCGCGGCGTCAATGCAAGACTTAGCATTGCAGCTGTTAGGGCAGCAGATCTTGCCGTGACTGCAATCGTAGTTCTGTTGACACTTTGGGCTGCAGCTGTAGATCTTTGAAGCTAACGGACAGCTGCCAGCTGTCGATTGAAAAATAATTATTTTTAGGTTAGGTTGTTATGTATTACTTCCTCAGTTTATTTATACCAAATTAAAAAATTTGATCATACTTTTGTAATATATATTATTTTAATATTTATTAAATTGAATCGCATATTAAGTCCGTTATCGATACTTTAATCATTAGAAAAAATGAGTCTGACTTTTTAGAAACAAGTCTAGAAAGTAAAAAATTTGTAACTTTTCGTAATAAATAAAAACGTCACTAACCGGAGGACACGCTGTCGATGATCATAAAAGCGGCAAAGATGCACAGAATGGTCGTTAACGAACCTGGAATACATCAGACACAAACTCATAAGGAAATATCAACTAGCATCTTATGATACTTTGTTTTCCTCATTTATTTGAATCTTGTCTTACCACAGAAGCAGATCTTTCTAGATCTTATATCTAACATATTATACAATCATTTTAAGCTCTTAATTCAAATGATAGGCAGATTTCAATTCAAATTAGCACGATCCTAACAACAAAACCATTTTAAACTCTAAGAGGGCCCTTCTTTTCATTCATAATATTTGCACGCTTTACTTTGTTTATTCCTTGTATTGCCATTGTTTGGTATCGTAAATCTGATTAATAATATTCGGCTGAGAGGTAGATTTTCAGTGCCGAAACACAGAAATATATTGTCATCCCTTCCATTCTCTTTGGAAAAAAGAGATATACCAATATGTTTCATACGGGTGATTCAGCATTGGATACCTTCATTTAATACGATAATATTGTTCCTTGTAGCGTTAGTGAGTCGATTATTATTTAAGTAGGTAATAACTGTAATCATTGCATTAAGAAACTCATCCGGACATTCACTTACAAGGATATCTATATGTCCTTACAACCAACACAACTTCAGCTTGTCTTATTTAAAAACAAAAAAAACTCGATGGTTTCGAAATCAATTCACGCACTTGATTTGAACTTACCTATACGAAGAAAAGAGATAGCAAGATTATACAAAGAGAAAGCGTTATCCTTATTCAATGTTTTTATTTACATGAATGTTTATGTGCAACATTTTTTATTTTTTTTGGATTATTTAAATATTTATATTTTTCAACTACCAAATACATTGTTACAGTTCTAATGATTTGTTAAATAAATATTAATTTACGTACCCATGTTGGTAATATTTTTTGCGAATAATGAAATAGAATACACACTAGTAGACAGTTCAAAAGACGGAGTACGACTGACCCATCGCGTATAAACCATTCTATAATGCATGCATTGCTAATAAGTGGTCTTGTACCATATAGACGTTTGAACGAACATCTTTTAGTACCTACCATATCAACGCCTCTGAGAGTTTATAATACACAACTTTTGTCTGTGGTACAAATTTGGCAAAGTAAACAGATAAAAAATAAAACCATGAAAATAAAATTATAACCTTACAAAGAATATAAAAATCCTGGCCTTCAATTGGCTTTTATTTTATTACGTCACTTACACATCATTCCCCAATATGGCGAGATTTTTATATAATACTAAAAAAACTTAACTAGTAACCTTTGTTTTTTTTTACATCTATTCTATTCTTAATTTCAGGGAGACCCATGCTGCCGCTTCTAATAAACATCTGTACATCCAAATTTTCCCAATAATAATATTAATAATAAAATCTGGATGACCGAGCTTTGCTCGGTATTTTTTTTTAAATTGTGTTTTTTGGAAATTATATTTAAGTACGAATTACTAATAAAATGATGAAATATGACTAATATTTTTCGATCTTACCGAAGTTTTAAGTTGATTATCGATAAAACACGAATAAATTGACATTTTCTTACAATGGTTCCTAGCTAGATCGATTTATCGCCCCTGAAACCCCCTATATACTAAATTTTATGAAAATCGTTGGAGCCGATTCCGAGATTCCAATTATATATATATATACAAGAATTGCTCATTTAAAGATATAAGATATAAATAATATTAAAAAAACTAAAGTGACCGTTATGCATACTAATTGGTAGAGATATTATTATAGGGAATGGGGTAAGTGTCACTTGTATAACTAGTTTTTAATGCAATATAAATATACACGGCCTAGATAAATATACAATCTAATTCATTGACCTAAAAACTGTTCGTTAGCGTCACTGGCAATATTTACCTAATTGATTTTACGTTTATCGATAAAAATATAATTTCATTAATGTTCGACTCCATTGTATTATATAAAATTCTAGAGTCGCCCACGTATACGCTGAAATAAAAAAAAAACAAATAGATTGCTTAGGGGTCTAGGTCCAGACCATGTTCTATATAGTGCATGCCAAATTGCATCGAGATCCGTTCAGCCTTTCTAGAGATATCTTCAAACAAAAATGTATCCATCCAAACATTCGCGTAATATAAGTAAACTATATTCTACTAAACCATAATTATGATAGCTCTTGTTTTGGAATTGGATAAAATATTAATTTTCGTCCAAAGTTATAAGTAACTTTAATTTAAATTTAGAATATTCATATATGTTTGTTTAACATTATTGAATACTGCTCATCTTTACTCCTCTCACTTACAATTATTAATCTACCAAGTACAATAATAGGTTCAAACGTTATTCTTGTTGTTAATCACAACAAAGACCCGGTTTATTCCCTGCCTCTTAAGGTTATAGGTCTTGTATATGAGTCATTTATATGTAGTCAGAATATTATAAGGAAAATGCAATAACTTGCATGCACTGCACTATATTAATTTTGTTTATTAAGTTGTTCGTATAATATGACGTAACGCATTTTATTACATTGTTTTTAAGGTTAAAAATGTTGCCCAAGAAAATGTAGCAGCTTACTAAAAGTATATGAAAATCATTATCCTTTTCTCATATGAGAAGTAGTGGCGGAATATGCATAAAACAGGAAAAGGCAATGTCCTTTTTCTGTTTATCCTCTCCACTGTCCTATAAAGGCACAACGTCATAAATAATTTTTGCAAATGTTTGTGGTTGCGGTTGTACCCCACGTCTTGTGGCCGCCTTCTTGTTTTAGAAAAAAAAACTTTAGTAGCATGAACAATATTAATTTATTATAACGCCATCTGTTGGAATAAGTTCTATTTACATTAAACACCAAGGATGTCAATTGGTGCTGTTGATGTTTTTGATTCGATAGTCCAAAAAAACTATAAACATCGAGTTAATCATTAATCGAGCGCCTTATTTTATAAAAAAATTTAATAAAAATGTGGCGCAAAGAAAACACTCTAGTTTCCATAGACAATGCGCACATAGTGGCCTCTGCAGGGAAGCAGACAGCAACAATTTGAAAATTTCGGTTTTGTTGTGAATGTCAAATTGTAACCGTTGCAAAGGTTGAAAAGTGATGTAAACAATTTATAAGAATATATTGTTCTAACTAAAAATATTTTATTGTTTTAAGAAAATATAGGCAAAAGTAATGATAGCGGCATTAATTTAGAAGTGTTTTTAGTTGTTTCATTGTGAAAATATGGATCCATTCACCCAGGTAAGTTTGACAAATCACGATAAAATAACGGTTGGAAATTCGTATGGGTTTGTTTAATTTACAATTTAAATACTCATTTTTAGCGTATGTTGGAAAGAGCGCGTGCTAGACAAGAGAAAATCGATCAGAAATTAGCAAACTCCGGACAAACTCCGAAACGAAAACCTCTCGCTGAAAACGTCGGTGTTGTAAAACCGCAATCTCCCGTAAAATCCCCAATTAAATCAACAAAAGAGCCAGTATTTTCACCAAAGAAACCTTCTAGAGAGTCTCTGAAATCTGAAACACAGAGAAAAAGTGTACAGAAATCTGATTTGATAATCGCTTCTCCTCAAAAACGGAATGATGTTATAGTAATGAAAAAGGAGTTCAAAAGTCCCAAAAAAGGCAGCTTGAATAGACGAAACTCGGACGTTTCAGTTGAGATCAATATATCTCATAGAAATGATATACAAATTGAAGTGCAAGTTGAAGAAAGAGATGTTCCTATAAGTATTTTGTATGATCCCAGCTTAGAAAGGGGCAGTAACATAGTCATTAAGGAAATTCAAGGTAAAAATATCCATTATTTCTTTTGTTCGTAGCTTTCAATTTAAAGTAAAGATTAAAATTGAAGAATTAATGTTAGTCTATTGTTACTTTACTCTAATTCATCATGAATTGTATTAGTTTGATGCTCATTTGATGATTATTATATTTAGAATAGTTATTTTTTTTAATCTAACTTACCAAGAAAGAAGGTAGAGTTTTTTTTCATCTTTTATGTTGTTAATTAACTTAAAGTTTTAATAAACAGTACATTTACTTTTGCAAATGAAATATTTGAAAACATTATAAAATTTATAACTCTCTAAAATTATCTGAATAGGTCATTAACATCTTGGTTAGTAATGATTATAAATTGAATATACTGTATTGTTTTCCTGTAAACAAAGGTCTTATTGTATTACTCATACAATCTGGATGTATTCCAAAGAAGCATTAGTAAATAATGTTTACATATATTTTGTAAATATATTTACTTTTGTGGTTGATTTGCCGCCTTGAATTTTAATATCTTCCAGTATAATTTGAGTGTTAGTGATTGTTACACCTATTTTGTGATTTTTTTAAACTTTTCGATGATTTTATATATCATGGTTGTTGAAACAGGTAAATTTTTAATTAACCTGTATTTTTTATATCAAAGAAAAAGTGAAAGTGATACTTTTGACTATATATTAGTTATAAGCATTTTTTTCATAATTGCTGGTTGTTTATATTTTATCATTTTAATAATTTTGATTAAAATAACTGCTTATTTTATTAAAAAGTCTTCTTTTTATTTAAAGCTGTTATTTGTAAATTAAGTTTTGCTTACAATTATTTCTTTATAATTTCTAGACGAAACATCCAAAGCAATATTGGATAAGGAAGCCAATGACATGGGAGACGTTAAGAATGATCGTCCAGCTCTACGCCACAATGTAAAATCCCGTTTGGATCGACTGGGAAATTTGTATTCTGGTAAGTTGTTAACATACAATATTTTCTTAAATTATCTTCATAGTTTTTTCAAAATTATTTAAAAATCAAGCATACATTTTGGTATGGTATTTTAGAATTAAGACTCTCCAATCTCTATCATTTAGTTTACACTGACAAAATATATGTATCAAGTATAATACTTTTTGTTTTAAAATAGTTTTACTCATCTGCTAAGAAAGTTCATCTCTTACGAGGTCTAAATAGCTCTTTCCATTGCATCAAGGTCAAGATATATTTTTATACAATGTTTTGTTGGCGGAAACTTAGTTAGCATGTAGTTTTTTGTACATCTTACTACTAATATAAATGCAAATGTTTACATTGATGGATGGATGTTTGTCTGAAGATATCTCCAGAACGGATTTAGATTAAATTTGGCATAGATATAGAACATAGTTTGGAAGAACATATAGGCTACTAATTATTTTTTTTTTATTCTGCGCGGCTGGAGTCGCGAGCGACAGCCAGTAAGAAATAATATAATTTAGTCTACAATAGTTTAAATTCCTCATTTAAAAATTCGACCGTTATATGGTGAGTCATATTTATCAACAGGGTGCGGTCTGATAAAAATATCGCTTCCTTTATGATTCACAAATCGGTGGAGTATTAGAAATCGGTACCAGAAGAAAAAATTAACATATGTGTATTTAATTTGAGAAAAAAAAAGATCATGTAAAACAAAAAATACTAAAATGAATTTTATACCTGTTTGATGTCCAATGAATCCCACAGAACTCGCCTCTCAGACTTATAACAAACACAAATTTTAGTTTGTCCCAAATTATAATTATTTTTTTCAATTAACTTTCAGACACACCAAACCTATCATCACCGATACATCGCACAGAAACTAATTTCACTGCTTCCCCGCCGCCTGTATCTCAGCCAAAGGAAAGACCAGCACAGGAAGGGAAGAAGAAATTCGGCAGACTTGCCGCACTTGCTGACCAGATCAATAACTGGGAGGATGACCTCTCACATCATAGTCACGTAAGTATTACAATAATCTGAATACGTGTTTTTAGCATTACTTTTACATTAGTTTAACATTTGCTTATTATGTTTTTTTTTATTTTATAAAAATCTAGCTGTCTCCCGAGACTCCATCTGCGTGGAATTAAAAAATAAAAACTTAATTAGTAGCCTAAGTGTTTTTCCAAACTATGTTTTATGATGATATGGAGATACCATTAAACAAACATCCATCC